GTTGGGCCGAACCGGACCACTGAAAAATAAATAAAAAAAAAAAAAAAAAAAAATTTTTTATTTCAGATTTCTAAAATTAAACTTAAAACAAATTGATTTTAATTTTTGGAAAATTATTTTCAATTAATCCCAATTAGATAATTGGATCGACAATCATCTATTTTAGTAAATAGGTGTTAGATTAATTAATTAATTTAAATTGTTAAATTGATCTCAATTAATAGAACACATATATAATATTGATTATAAGTTCAACTTAATTAGTAGTACCTCAACATTATTTGAATGACTTATGCTAGTTGAGGTTCTATAATTATTTTGAAAACTCGATAATTAATTAATGTAATTAATTATGAAATTAGGTCGTATGTTCCTCTTAGGACAATATGCGTTTTCCATATACCTTTAGAGAACATAGATGTAGGAATCACATAGACCAATCCAAAACCTTCTGATGAGATAAAACACTTAATCAAAACCCCTCATTCTTTTAATTAAGAATCATTTCAAGCTATAAAGAAAAACCCAATCTGTTGAGTTATTTCTTTCCTTCTGCCAACGGTTGGATTATGTGTAGCCCTTTACTATAGTGCAGTAAGCCGTGTTAGCGGGGAGTGCTATGGTAGAGTAAACTGTAATTCAATTGACATAATGATGAAGGTAGCCATAGAAAAGGGTTATGTTGAATTAACGTGGTCGGCTAGATTAACTAGGGACTGCATTAGTTTGGCATAATCGAGTTCTATGAGCATCTTTGATTGGTAGGTTAGACTTGACACACGACGATTTTGATATTCGCGAGATTAACTTAGGTCATTATCAAGTGTGAGGAAAATTAATTTAGGGTCATATTGTGGATATGATTGATTGTGATCTACCTTTGGGCAAATATAATCGGGCTAGATTAACTACGGGTTATATTTGTCTATTGGACCTAAAGCCCATTAAGAAAAATCAGTTTTCTCGTTTGTCTACTAGAGGGAAGTGGAACTCGATAAAATTAGTGGGAGAACAATTAAATAACATAAGTCCAAACATTTAATTGTAACAATCATTTAACGCGAATCTCTAATAATCCTCTTCTCTATATGTCTCAGATAATTATGTCTAAGAATCCCATAATGTCAATCCTCGACAATAAACTCAATGGCCCTAATTACCTAGATTGGTTGCGTAGTCTTAAGCTTGTGCTAACTGTTGAGGGGCGTCTCTACGTTTTGAACGAGAGGCTTCCCGCCACTTTACCTGCCACAGCGACTGATGCTGAAAAGGAAACTTATGAAGTTTGGAAGAAAGATGACACTCATGCTAGGTGCTATATGATAGCCGCCATGGAGCCCGCTCTTGCGAGGAAATATGAGTCTCACTTGCATGCTTTCGATATAAAGGCTCATCTCGATAGCATGTATAGTGAGAATATTAGGGCATCGAGATACGCTGCTACAAAGGAGTTGATCACAGCGAGATTGCGCGAAGGGGTTTCGGTCCACGAGCACTGTCTCAAAATGATCACTCTCCTTGAAAAGCTAGTGAATCTCGATGTCACCCTCCCGGCAGAGCTCTCGTTGGATTTGATCCTGTTGTCTCTTCCTAGTTCCTATGAATCGTTCATAGTGAACTTCAACATGAACAAACTAGATCCTCCCTTGGATGAGTTAATGAACATGTTGGTCAGCTTCGAGTCCACCATTAAGAAAGAGAAGTCTGTTCTCATTGCTGCTCCTTCTGGAAAGAAGAGTTCTTTCCAAAAGAAGAGAAAGGAAAGAGTTTCCTTCCCAAACAGCAAGTTCGAAGTGGGTGAAGGCAGTGGGGGCCCCAAAGCAAAGGTTAGCAAACAAGTTGATGATGCTTGCCATCACTGTGGAAAGAAAGGACATTGGCGCCGCAACTGCAAGGCTTACCTAAAGCAGAAAGGTTCTGAAAAGGGTACGTATTTCATTGACGTAAATTTGTCTGTCAACTCTTCTTCTTGGGTATTGGATACGGGCTGTGGCTCACATTTGTGCAATGATTTGCAGCTAATGACAAGAAGTCGAAGACTTAGAGCGGGTGAGACCTACCTAAGGATGGGGAATGGAGCAAGAGTTGCTGCTGAAGCCATTGGCACTATTTACTTAAATGTTTTGGATTCTAGTTTTCCTATTGTTTTGAACGATTGTTTATTTGTTCCGTCGCTCATTAGAAACCTTATTTCTATTCCTGTATTAGATATTGAAGGTTTTACTTTTGTTTTTGGAAATTCGATTTGCATTATACAAAAGAATGAGAACTTAATTTGCAAAGGACGACTATTAAACAACTTATATGAACTAAATCCAAGTGAAATACCTATTAACGTTATATCAGCAAAACGTAAGGAGATAGATCAAAACCCCGCACAACTTTGGCACGCTAGATTAGGTCATGTCTCTTTAAGAAGGATGAACGATTTTGTTAGTGAAGGATTGTTCTCTTTGGAGGACGTGAAATCACTACAAACTTGTGAATCTTGCCTTAAAGGGAAAATGACCAAGTCACCCTACAAAGGGGTAATGGAACGAGCCGAAGGTCTTTTGGATTTGATCCATACAGACGTATGTGGTCCACTAAGTGTTAGTGCGAAGGGTGGATACAACTACTTCGCCACCTTTACCGACGATTATTCTAGGTATGGGTATGTGTACTTGATGAAGTACAAGTCTGAAACATTTGAAAGGTTCAAAGATTTTAGACATGAAGTAGAAAAGCAACTCGGACGAAGTATTAAAAAACTACGATCCGATCGTGGTGGGGAATACTTGAGCATCGAGTTCATTGACTATCTAAAAGAAAATGGGATACAGTCCCAATGGACTCCACCTGGAACTCCTCAACTTAATGGATTATCCGAACGTCGGAATCGAACTCTATTAGATATGGTTCGATCAATGATGGGGTTCACAAACTTACCGGCATACTTGTGGGGTCATGCACTCCGTACTGCCGCGTATTTGCTGAATAGAGTTAACACCAAAGCAGTTAAATCCACACCTTATGAACTTTGGCATTCCCGGAAACCCAATTACAAACATATTAGGATATGGGGTTGTCCCGCTTATGTGAAGCGATTAGTGGGAGATAAGTTGGATAGTAAATCCGACTTGTGCTATTTTGTGGGGTATCCCGAAGACTCAATGGGATACGAGTTCTACTATGTCAAAGAAGCAAAGACGTTTGTTTCGAGAAATGCCACCTTTTTGGAAAGGGAGTTTCTATCCGATAGAAAGGGCAGCATGATAGAACTTGAAATAGTTCAAGAACCACAAAATGAAGTTCAAACGCAAGAACAAGTAATCGAACCAAAACAACAAACCACTAATATACCTCCTGAACCTACGGTACGTAGATCCGAAAGAGTTCGGAAAATACCGGACAGGTTATTCCTCCTCGAAAATGATGAAGATCATGTTGATCTTGGACGAGATCCAAGAACATACAATGAGGCCGTATCGGATGCGGACATGGGACATTGGCTAACTGCCATGAAATCCGAAATGGACTCCATGTACTCCAACAAGGTATGGACCTTGGTAGATCCACCTAAAGGAATTGTTCCTATAGGCTGCAAGTGGATCTATAAGAAGAAAATTGGAGTAGATGGAAAGGTGTCGACCTATAAAGCTAGATTGGTAGCGAAAGGTTACACTCAAAGGCAAGGCGTTGACTATGAGGAAACTTTTTCGCCGGTCGCGATGCTGAAGTCCATTAGGATTTTGCTGGCCATAGCTGCGTGGTACGACTACGAGATATGGCAAATGGATGTGAAGACCGCCTTCCTTAATGGAGATATTGAGGAAGAAATTTACATGGCGCAGCCGGAAGGCTTCATATCTTCTGGAAGTGAGCAAAAGGTTTGCAAGCTCCAGCGATCCATTTATGGATTGAAACAAGCATCCCGTAGTTGGAACATTAGATTCGACTCAACTATCAAAGAGTTTGATTTTGAGAAGAATCCGGAGGAACCTTGTGTATACAAGAAGGTTAGTGGGAGGGCAGTAATATTTCTAGTGCTTTACGTTGATGACATTCTACTCATTGGGAATGACGTAGGAATGTTACAGCAAACGAAAGCATGGTTGTCCACACGTTTCTCAATGAAGGATTTGGGAGAAGCATCTTACGTATTGGGAATACGCATCTATAGAGATAGAGCAAGAAAGATGCTTGGCTTGTCCCAAAGCCTGTACATAGACACCGTTATGAAACGTTTTAGCATGGAAGAATCCAAGAAGGGATTCTTGCCAATGTCCCATGGGGTTCGTCTCTCGAAATCTATGTGTCCCCAAACACCTAGTGAAATCGAGGAGATGAAAAGGACGCCCTATGCTTCTGCCATAGGAAGCATAATGTATGGCATGCTATGTACTAGACCCGATATTGCGTATGCTGTGAGTGTCACAAGCAGATATCAGTCTAACCCCGGCCCGGCTCACTGGAAAGCCGTGAAAGATATCCTCAAGTACTTGCGAAGAACTAAGGATATATTTTTGGTCTATGGGGGTGCCGAGTTGAAATTAGAGGGTTTCACTGACTCTAGTTTTCAATCGGATGTGGACGACTCGAAGTCGAATTCTGGATTTATATTCACGCTTAATGGTGGTGCCGTGTGTTGGAAGAGTTCCAAGCAAAGCACGACGGCCGATTCCACTACCGAAGCGGAATACATTGCAGCGTCCGAAGCTGCGAAAGAAGGGACTTGGATAAGGAAATTCATCCAAGAGTTGGGTGTCATTCCTGATGCTAGTGATCCAGTACCGTTGTACTGTGATAACACCGGAGCCGTGGCACAAGCTAAGGAGCCGCGATCTCATCAGAAGTCGAAGCATATTCTGAGGAAGTATCACGTGATCCGAGAGATCATTGATAGAGGTGAAGTTAAGGTAGAACGAGTCACCTCGGAAGAGAACGTAGCAGACCCCTTCACGAAGCCTTTACCAAGATCGGTCCATGAGAAACATCGAGAGTCGATGGGATTGCGGTTTATGGGTAGTTGGCTTTAGGTCAAGTGGGAGATTGTTAGAGTAGGTGACCAACAAGCCAACTTGTGGCTGTGGTCTTTCGTATTTATTATTGTAATAAACGAACCTTTATTCGTATTAATGATAAAACACATTGGCATTCTATATCTTTGTCCCTTTGTCACAAGCATAGATATAGTCCTTACAGTTATTACAAGTACTAGTAATTGATCGTTAGGATCGTGAGATATTTACTTAAGTATTATAACTGTTAAACGTGTTCCTAGTCGAAGGGTTACGCCACTAATGAGGATATCGGCCTTTCCCATTAAGACTAGCACTTAGTGTATGTGTACTGCATCTCATCAGTAAACGGTATTGTGATATCGGCATGCACAAGTGGGTGCTCGTAAGTTGACGAGTTCACTGAACTCCCTCACCCTAGAAATCTCTAAGTGGTTCCCAATAATCGAGTAGAGATATCTATGGTATAGTTGTACACCATTAGTCCTTATGACCTAGACATCACCGTGACTTCACTAGAGGACCAGCTGTATCGTGACCTGTCCCTGAGTTCCACCGAGGACCATCCCAAGGGCCAGTGTTCGTGCAGTCCGAAATCTAGTGGGAGGTCTGTGCATTGTAGTCGGGGATTCGATCGCTAGAATAGTCTTGGATGTCCTGTGTGTTCTGAAAGTTTGTAATCATTCTAAGTCTCTGGCCAGAGCTGACTAAGTGATGATTAGAGGATTCGATTCTCTAAGTCATGCACGTAACGATTACAACACTTAGAACGATCGCACCGTTATTGAACATATAAAGAGGTCTCGATGAACCAATGCCTCTAGTTCAATCGGGACATATGAATCGAAGAGACCGTACTGTACGTTAACTATATCTGAAGGTTCTTGCAGGCACTTCATTTGTATCTAGGGAATCATGACGCGTAGTTGCTAGACGCCAATCTTGATTCGTTGGGTGATTAAGGTGAAACGAGCTTCATCTTAATTGTAACTCGAAGGGGACGAGTTTTGACCACAAAGAGTTGTGGGCCCACGGCTAGCTTACACCTGAACCATCGAGGGTCACACTGCTCGTGCACATGAGATCTTTGAATAAACGGTCAGAGATAAAATAGTTTATCTTTGCATAATTGGAAGTCAATATGATTGAGTCCAACATTCGTAATTTGGAATTATGAATGAGAATAAGAAAAGGAAAAGAATAAGCGAACATGTTAGTGAACTTTCTAAATCGGGAAGTTTCCAAATTTAGAAAGTCCACTGAACTAGGGTTTCCACTTTTGGAAAGTTGGAAAATAAGAGATGGCACTCGTAATGACGAGAAAATTATAATGACTCGGAAATTGTAATCGTTACAATTTTTCGATCATTGAATTGAGAGATACGAGCGATTAAAGAAACTAACGAGCTTAAGCTGTTGGGCCCAGTCCAACTTAAGCCCGCTAGGGTTTCATGCTAGGGACTATAAATACATGATTTATAACCCTAGCACAAACACAAAAACCCTAACCCTAATCGGCCACCCTCTCTCTCTCGGCCTCTCCTCCGCGCGGCCACCACCGCGCCACCACCGCCGCTCCGTCGCCGGAAACGGCCGTTCCTCGGCCGGCTTTTGTTCGGTATTCTTTCTCCTTTATTTTCTTTCCGTTTTATTCTAACTACTTCGTGTCTAGTGCCACGATTTAGTAGATCGAAGTATACGAGGTGAAATCCGAGAGGAGGAAGACCGTAGATCGAAGAATCGAGGAGCAACGCACGAGCCGAAGCCGCACGCTGCCCCACGCGCCGCCTCGCACAACCGCGCGTGCTGTACACGCGCCGCCGTGAGCTGCCACACCGCCGCTGCTGCTGCTCCATTGCTGCCCCGATTCTACGGATTGGTTTCCGTAGTAATCACGACGAATCGTTCGCTCCTACCTCACGCGTCAAGAGGTAAATACTCGAAACCCTAGTTTTGTTTTAGGGTTTAATTTAAACTATGATTTCATGCTTGTGTTTGTATGATTTTATGTGATTATGTGTAATCGATTAAATCGTTGCGAGCATGTTATTTGGTTTAAATTGCGAGCATGTTAATTGATTTAAATTCGGTTAAATTTATTAGCATGTATGTTGTTTTTAATTTCGCTGGAAGCGCAAAGGTACGCAATTAATTGATTTAATTTGTCGGGCATGTACTTGTGTGCTTTAAAGTGGTTTAAATCACGTAAAATTTTTGTTTTCCGCTGCGTATGCGTGCCCGAAACCCAACAGTAGTTTCGTTATCTCCATTAACAACATTCAGATTCATGTGCAAGACTGGTTTATTGCTTTGATTTTTAACGTAGATGGTTTTTAGAACGTTGTCAATTTATTTTTTATGCAGACTTTTTATTGATTCATTAAGATGCGAATTTTTATTTTTTTGTTCGATTGTATTCTTAGCATTCTCGACATAATTTTTATTCGTTGGTTTTATACGTTAACTCATTTTAATGTTTTTAATTAATCCCCGTGCATCGCACGGGTGAGTTACTAGTAAATTTGATAAAACGATCATCACCTTTTAATCCATAAGATTAAGAACTATTTCAATGCTTCGCATTCGCACAACCAATTAGATGAAAGACGATAATCCATAGATAAACAAATAACCTTGATCACCAATGTAGATAAAGCCTCCATATCTACAACAAATCTAAACTCCAAATCGCTTTCCTAGATAAACAAACAATCTTGATCACCAAAGTTTTAATCCATAAATAAGCAAACACATTTATCCGCTCTATTGCACCAGATCTGATTTCGGTTATATATATAAATGAACTTCGGCACCATTCTGCAAGAGGTTCATAAGTTTAACATTTAGAAACACAATACATTTATGTCACGGCAGTTATAAATGCTGAAATTTTATATAATGCATTGTAGAAAAAAGGTATAAAATCACGATACTGAAGAAAAAATCATAGGAAAACGAAAAACGCAGACAACATACTAGGTGGAAAACAAAGCACATCTCCAGAAAAAAACAATGCAATACAACAAACAAAAAATATACGCAGAGAAGAAAAAACCGAAAAAATATCTGAAAAAATAACAAAATAAACCTCAAGAGACCGATGGTGGGCAAACAAAAGATGCAGAGAAAATAATCTGAAGCCGACTTAAATTGTGGAAAAAACATAACCTCAAAATTTGTGGGATAACTGTATTCAGTAGAAGAAAGAGGATTCTTTCTGCCGGAAAAAAAATTATGGAGAAACATACGGCGGTAGAGTTTTGCAAGCCAAAAGTTTGTAGAAGAAAGAAATGAAGGTGGTTGAGAATAAAGAATGGCTTGGGGAAGAAAATAGAACTGTAGAGGAGAAGTTGGTGGAGAAGTTGAGAAGTGGGGGAGAGAAGTTGTATCGCCACAATTGAGAATGCCAATGTGTCAAAAGTTTTATTGCAAAAAAGGGCCTAGGGTTTTTCGAAAAAGTAACCCACGTTACTTCTTTATATATATATATATATATATATATATATATATATATATATATATATATATAATTAAGAAAAGGGGAAATATGCAATACCCCTCAAATGGAAAATATTTTGAACTAAACCCAATTGACTATTAGAAACTTTTGCCTACACCCAAGTTTTATTCTTAATTAGTGAGACCCCCCTAACCAGACACGATAAGACTAAAGTGCCCTTATGTGATTAGGTTTTTAACGTGATATAATTTATTTCAGTTTTTCACTCTCCCCTCTCTCTCTTTCTCTCTCTCTCTCGTTCTCAATCTATCGTCTTCTTCTTCTTCTTCTTTGTTTTTCTCTTTTCCGTCTTTTCTGCAGATTTGTATACCGTCGGCGCCCTCCTTCATCTTTTTCACACCACCGCCGTAGTCCACTCACCGTAGCCACCGTTGTTCGTGCACTCGTCATCGCCGGAGCAACAAATATCTTTCAACCGCCGGTCGGCCGAAACCTAATACTGGAGGCCCTCCTCCGTACAAGTGGTGGCGGCGGTGCCTCCCCCACCTCGTCGGATGCATTACATGGAGATTTCCCTTTTTCATTTTCTCTCGATTTCTCAGTTTTTTTTTTTCCAGATCTGTTCACCACCGTCACCGTAGCCACGTCCCCACTCTCTCTGTCATTCACCGTCGTTGTCGTCGCCTCCCCTCCCTCCTTTTCGTTATTTTTTCTTTTTTTCTTTTTCTTTTCTCTCCAGATCTGAAACAGCAGCATCAACGTGACTACTCTGGTTCGAATATGACTATTGTTGATTCACTCGATTAGTGATTTATTATTTTCTCGTGTTCGTTGTTTCTCTCGATTTTCTCTCTTTACATCGCCATCGTCTCCACATAGATTTATACACAACCATTATCGTCGCCGCTCGTTGCCGTCGCCTCCTCTTTCGTTTCCACGTAAGGCTCGTTTTCTCTCTTTTTCGTTATCTTTCTCATTTTTTTTTCCAGATTTGTCCATCACCACCAGCATCGTCACCGCCCCCTCACTCTCTTTCATTCACCACCGCCAGCATCGCCGTTGTCGTCGACTCCCCATGACTCTCCTTCATTATTTTTATATTTATGAATTTTTCGATTTTTTTTTTCCAGGTCTGAACAACAGCAGTAACAGGACTATAGTCATGTTCGAATATAACTATAGTCATATTTATATATTTTTCGAATATGACTGTAGTCATATTCGAATATGACTATTGTCGAATATAATTGTAGTCATGTTCGAATATATTCTATCTTCTCGTTTTCAAGTTGACTTCTAATAACCAGATTCAAAATTGTTATTTTTTGTGTGGATTTAGATTGGATTGTTTTCGTAAACAATAGGGAATCTTCGTTGTTTTATATAATTTGGTAAACATGACTATACCACACTATATAATCGGAATTTTTAAGTTGAAAATGTAAAAAAAATCAATATAAAGAAAGAATATGTTTATATAGTCACATATAGTCATATTCAACTATAGTCATATTCGGAGTTGTAAATCTGTCGAGAAAAAAAATTTCAATTTTTTGTTTTAAAAAAATTAAAAAAATATTTTTATTAAATAAATTATTAAAAATAAAAATAAATAAAAATGGCTAAAAAATCCGAAAATAATAAAAAAAAATCAATTTTTTTTTTTGATTTAGTAGCAATTTTTTAGGTATTTAGAAGTAGATTTTTAGGAATTAGATTATTGTTATGGAAAGAGAGAAAAAATGAATAATTGAGATTAATTATGCTAATTGACATAAGCGTAGAATTGAGAATACAAATTTTAGGGGGTTATCACAAAGAAAGATTTAAGGGGTGGACATATCACTATTTATTATTTATATGAGGGGTTTATTGCTAATGACCCCTTAAGAAAATATTAACTAATATCACCATAAATACATTAAATTAAAACAGAAAACGAACTTTAAAAAATAGTAAAATTTTGCAGTGGATTCTGAGCATTTAGAATTCATCTGTGGGCAATAATTGTCGACTTCTTAATCTGCCTAGCCATTGGCCTTAAATCTCTATTATAATGAGTTAACTCATCACAAACATGATAACTACCATCCCAACTGATTCTTAAGTGCTGGGGGAAATTGTGGGCTCCAAATCGCTGGGTGGTATAATTGAGAAATCTCTGCAAGAGCCCAATTACGTCTTCGTCTATCCACAGGTGACGGAAAACTTGCGGGTGATATGTGCATTATATTTAATGATTTTTAGTTAGTGAAAGAAGTTGATTAGATTAGTGAGTTAGTGTGTGATTTAATTTTAATTAGTCATTACATAGGAATAGGTTCGGTTAGTGAAGAAAGTGCACGTTATGCATATTTTTAGTAGTGATTTAGTGGGATAGTTTATATATTGCTATTAGTTGTAAGATCTATGAATTGAGTATTGCGTAATTGAAAATGGAGAACAAGCTTTTACAAGAATCAAATACTTCTGTTAATTATCTTCTCAATTTCTTCACATTCTATCTATCTTCTGGATTTCTTCTTATTTCTTTAACCTATTCCTCTTGCTCAAATTACTACGTAACAATGGTATCAGAGCTGCTACATGCATTTGAGGCACGTAACAAATCAGATGTGAAGTTTTCTGCTCAGGTTAGTGAGATTCTAACCCGACACGAATCCCATTTCAACCAAATACACAACACTCTCCAAGTTTTATCGCAAAACTTCAAGCTCTAAAGGCTTTTCGCAACCACATTCGAGTTTTCGATGGCGATGTTGATCCCTCGACCACGAATGAGTCATCTGAGGTAGTGAAAACCATAGCTGCAACTCGCACAACTCCAAACCTTATTCCAAATACAAACTTCAAGCTTCAACGTCCGAAGTTCGCTCAGAAAGATGCAACCGATCGGGTTTATCACGTGGAACAATATTTAACAACAAACATGCGTCTACCGACGTCAACTCCACCAATGACAACCAACAGACTTGGCCCCCACCCACTACTGCGAACATCAACCTGTTAGAGTAGGTGACCAACAAGCCAACTTGTGGTTGTGGTCTTTCCATATTTACTTGTAAACAATCTATTTTCGTTATTAATGAAATTCTGTTTTTGCAAGCTATATCTATTGTCCCATTTTATTATGCATAGATATACAACTTATAGTTACTATTAAATTACTATGAATTGATCTAGGAGAATCATGAGATAATTCATTTACTAAAGATAGCTATTAAACAAGTTCCTAGCCAATGGGTTATGCCAATAATTAGGATAGTGGCATTTCCCATTTGAGACTATCACTTGTGTATGTGAGTTGAGTCTCATCAGCTTCAATGTAGTGACATTCGCATACATAAGTGGGTGCTCATAGTCGATGCATTCACTGAACTCCCTCGTCCTAGAATCTCTAAGTGGTTCCCATTAATCGGGTAGAGGTTCTATGATTATAGTTGTACACCATTAGTTCTTAGACCTAATACATCACTACAACTTCATTAGATGACCAGCTGTGTTGTGACCTGTCCTTGAGTCTCCACGAAGACCGCTCCAAGGGCCAACGTTCGCACATTTCGAAATGTAGTGAGAGACTGTGCATTGTAGTTAGGGATTCGACCACTTGCTTAATTGCATGGATGTCCTATGTATTCTTCGAGCATATTGTCCAAGGAATCTTAGGCCGATGTAGAAAGTGTAGTGATTAGAGAAATGAGTTTCTCTAAGTCAAACACGAATCGACCTTACAACTTTAGAACGATCACATAATTATCGAATAATATTAGAGGTCTTGATGGACCAATAACTCTAGTTCGATCGGGAAATATGTTTAGTCAAAGGGACCGTACTGTACGCAAACTATAATTTCAGGTTCTTGCAGGTACTTCATTTGTATCTAGGGAATCATGACACGTAGTTGTTAGGCGTCAATCATGATTCATTGGGCATTAACCAATATGATCAGCGATGTCGATTAAAATATGTTTTGATCTAAAACTGGACATTTGGGACGAGTCTGTAATTGAATAAAGAGTTATTCACGTCACAAATAGTTGTGGGTCGACGGCAGTTTACACCTGAACCATTGAGGGTCACACTTTTTGTGGAGAGGATTCCTTAATAAGGTGAACTAAGATTAATTTGTTAATCTTAGCTAAAGTGGAATTCAATACAATTGAATTAAAATTTGTAATAGTCTATTATGAATTGGAAAAAAAAAAGAGTAATGCAATTTTATAGATTTCAAGTGAACTTTCTAAATTGGGAATTTCCTAAGTTAGCAGGTACCGCTGAAATAGATGTTTCCGAAAATGGAAATTTAAGATATGCAATATGCTACTTGAATTGACGAGAAAATTATTATCGTCATGAAAATATAACTGTTATAATTTTCGGGGTTACCATTTGAGAGATATTAGGAATCGAAGAAAAAGTTCTCTTAAATATTTTTAATTAGATGAGTCTCCCATTCCTAGATAAGGATTGAGGTATTTGATTTTAATTGGAAATTAAAATTATACTTGGACTAGGATTAATAAATCATTATAAATAAAAGTGGTAGGTAGAGAAACTGACATGACACAAGACAACAATTCTCCTTCTCTTTTTCTCTTTTTCCAACATTTTCACCTATATTTATCCAATTGTTTTCTAGTGCAAGCTATTGGTCGATTAATCTCTTCAAGGTGAAATCCGATTTAGGCGAAGAACATTGGCGTATAATTTCTCAACTTAGGACTTCAGTGAGACCACAAAGACAACGTTCTAAAAAGCTTACGTTCAACGAGTATGTAATCGAATCTCGTTAATTAATTAGATTTATTGTAATTATTTGATTACTTGATTCACATGTTTTATTTGAATTTATTTAAACACATGATCAAAAGCATGCTAATAAATTATGCCTAATTGGTGAATTTATTGTTCATAGAATTCGCATGATAGAAATAATTTAAACTTTCGCTGCGTATGCATGTAGATTCCCAATAGTGGTATGAGAACCACTGATATGTTTGTGTCTTTAAATTCGAATTTTATGAAAGTATGCGAATTAAATTGATTGGTTTTGTTTCGATTAATTGTTGATTTAATTGGGTAGGGTTTTTGACGAAAAATTAAGAAACAAATCTGAGATTTACTTTTGTAATTAAATTGGAAAGTAGCAATTTTATGGAATTATGATTCTTTAAAATTATTTATAAAAAAAAAGGGTTTATGAGGCATAACCCCCCATTACCAAAAATATTAGGACTAGCCACCTATCATTACATTTACCAATTACTAAACTACCCCATATTTTCTAATTGCAACCCCCATCGTTTTCCCCCAAATCAGCAAATCTTCAACCATTTCTTCAATGTAATATCTTCTTAAATTTTCGCTAGTATGCTATATTTCTTCCAAGAAAATTGCAACAAAATCTGCAAAATATATACGATCCTTTCTCGATTCCAACACTACCCTAGTTTGCTATATTTTTTCACAAAAAGAAAAAACTGACATTTGTGTGAATTGCAGAGAAATCCAGGCCGACAACAATGCTGAAAGCTAGCAAACCGAAGACAGGTTATTTCCTATACATCTATGGTCCCCCCCCCCCCCCCCCTCTTCTATTAACCTACATTATGTATTTTTACAACATGATTTATGTTTTCCACCCTTCTCAGTGACTTCGAAAGACAAATTGAACTCTCCTACATAAACCCAATGCAACGGTAAGCCTGAAATCGACAATCAATTTCACTTATATTTGTTGCAGATTTAATAGTTGTTTGATTAATTATGTTATTTTTCATACATGAATCTCTGAAATTTTCCCTAATTTTAGTGACGCCGAAATCAAAGAAACGCAACGATCATATGCGATGGTTCGGAATTCTTTCATGATTGATTACTCAAAAATTGAGTTTGTAAACAAGCTTGTTTCTTAGATCTACAAATCCATGGTCGCACTATTTGTTGACTCGTAATATTTGTTTCCTATAAATTTATATTATCAGAGTCCACAACAAAGAAGAGAACATTGTTGTGGTGAAAAGCATAAAATACTGTAGTCATCTACACCCAGAGTCAACTATAAAAACCGAGTGGTTCAATATATTGGTCCCAAAGTCAACTATAAAAATTAGATAGCCAACCATAATTTTAACGATGTCACTTATAAAAAAAATGGTAGTCAACTATAAAAAGATGGGTAGTTAATTGTTGCGAGAGTCAACTACAAAAACTAGATAGTAAACTATAATTGTTCCGATGTCAACTATAAAACAAATTGGTAGTCAACTATAATTTTTCGTTAATTCACTATATTATTTTGCAATACAAGATACTATGGTGTTATAAAATTGAATATTGACGATAAAAATTTCATCTTCATCTTCGGTGAAAACATGAATTTCATAGAGTAGAAAATAGATTGATTTCAACGACCCCAAAATGAGATGTAGAAGAAAAGGTAAAGTAGTGTGAAGAAATAGAGAAAAAAAAAAAACAAAACCAAGGGAGAAGAGAGGAAATGGGGAAGATAGAGAAGAGAGAGAGAGAGAGAGGAGAGAGGGAGAAGAAGAATAAAAGAAAAACAGACAAGAAGAGAGGAAATGGGGAAGAGAGAGAGAGAGAGAGAGAATAAAATAAAAACACTTCAAAAGTGAGGGAAAAAAAGAAAGAAAGAGAAATGAATAGAGTATATAAAATGATGGATAAGAGACAAATAAGGAGAAGAGAAAGAAAGCAGGAGAAAAATATGGAAAAAAAATGGGATAATGTGCATTAACATAAGTTTAGGGAGTCACACAATTTAGAAAATATTATATGGGTTTGTTTACAAAGAGTCAGTTATAGATTTGGCTCATATTATATTATTTTACCTAATGAGGGGTTTATCCCTCATTTTCCCAAAAAAAAATCGTTGTTTGTTCAAAAGTCGTACAAGGCTTAAACAACCAAAATTGCTTTTTATTTTTGGGAGCTCATGCATGCTTCGGCCATGCAATAATGAGTAGCGTACAATACATACATGTATTGATGTATATATATATACACTAGTAACCGAACCGTGTATTGCACGGGGTTACATATTTCAATTTAATGATACCACCATAACACAGTTATTAAATAGGAGTAATAGACTACAAATTGTCACAAATAGAATGTACATTTGCTTCTTCTTACACTTAAAAATCTCTGATTAAAAAAAAAAGACAATTTAACCATTCAGAATATGTCTGCACTTCACTGGTACCGAAGACATTACTGCAGGTTAACAATTCCCAATAGCATCATAAATGAGTACAAATAACAAAAATAAAATAATTATTGAACGGAAAAATACGAACAAATTTACGAAAAACAATTACCTTTGATATTGTGTGACAATTCGATTGAGAGTCAATACATTCATTTTAATGAGATTGACCTTGGCTTTTATTTTGTCATAACGAAGGAAAGAACGGGGAAATTGCCTCCTCTTAAAGTGAGATGGAATTCTACTGTCTGACGGTGTTAACGACAATCTTGGAATGAAGAACTTTTGTCCGACATTAGTGCCTAGTATTAGTTTTGCTTCCAGAACGCGATTTCCCAATCGAGTAATGGTCAATCTTGTACCGTTACACAACCTATTGGACTCGTCTATATTCCTCAACAACATAACATAAACACCTTTCTTCAACTTTAATTCATGGTTTGGCAGACCTGAAGATGTAATAGTATTCAAAAACTCTGGAGTATGAATGTCATGATGTGAGTCGACACTCTCATTCGCCGTACATGGACAACCGATACTAAGATAGACTTTTTCATCTTCCAGAACCAAAGACAGCATGTAATCGCTAACCTTGTCAACAATTTTATTTGAAGGTGCCAATATAGCTAGTTGTTGTAAGTATTCAAAATCCATTATATTAGCGAGCAAATTTGGGTAAGTTTCTTCAGCAATAGAAGCTTAATGGTTAGCTAATGGTTTTATGAGCAAACCATCTGGTATCTCAATGTCCATAACTGCATCATTGTCGTCACCATTAGTACCATCGCCTATACTTAAGACCCAATCTGAGAAGTTCTTCAATTCCTCTCAATTAAAACTTGCTGAAGAAAGTCTCATATTTTTTGTTAATGTTAACACTTCACAATGCCGCCACAAACGTGAGGAATTTATGCTCGCCGACACAACTTGTTGCCTTGTTCCCTTTGGCACAACAGGCAATATTTGTCTGACATCACCTCAAAAAATAACTGTTTTGCTACCAAAGGGTTTATTCTCATTTTCATGATCAGACTGGCTTAGGATATCCTTCAAAGATTGATGTACAACCTCCAAACAATGCTTGTGAATCATCGGAGCTTCATCCCAAATGATGAGTTTTACTTTCATTATCAACTCCGCCAAAGGGGACTCACATGCAATGTTGCAAGTAGATTCTTCATGAACCTTAAAAGTAATTGTAAACCTCGAGTGTGTTGTTCTTCCACCAGGGATGAGTAAAGAAGCTATTCAACTTGAAGCAACTGTCAGTACTATTTCACCTTTTGACCTTAGAGCAGCCGAAAGCGTTCTCCAAATATATGTCTTGACAGTACCTTCGTAACCATAAAGGAAAAATAAACCACCACAACTCTCATTTACTCGTGCAATTATCATGTCATAGATAACCCTTTGTTCGTCATTGAGACTTGACAATAACTCCAAATGTTCCGCAACCAATGCACTTATGTCATATTTGAGTTCATCATAGATAAGTCTATTTTGAATTTGTGGGAGAAGCGACATGTTTGGGAACTGCAGTGTTTGAAAATCAGCTAGACTCTTATTACTACTCCGCAGCTTATTTTCAATTTCCACAAGTGTAAACTTTTTCAAACCATCTTCATCAAGCTGCGAATCTAAGATATAAAAAAATATTTTCTCAATTAGCCACAATGCATGCAGAATAAATGAAAGACAAAATAAAAATTATGTTAATAAAGTAATATATAAAATACTTCAAAATATATGAATAATTATCTTCACGTTGGAGTAAAGTTCTTTGCATGCGCAGGATATCATCACTCAGAAAATGCCATGTTTTATCCCAAACATTTTTGGGCCATGCAATTTGATTCAACGATAATAAAGTTGTGAACATATTTCCTAGGAATTTAGCAAAACCCCAATGGCTTGCTTCTTCAATACCATCTATGTACTCCTTATCATCACCTAACATACCAATTGCATAGCAAGCATCTCTAACTGTATGATAAACCATATTATTGATGGTTCTTAAGTCGGTATCCTTTAATTATGTTGAGTAGATTCCCAAATAATATAATTCACCACTTCCCGGGGCTACGTAATGAACTCTTCCCACCGAAAATCCTTTCTTTCGAGGAGTCCATGCACGTAAAGGTTGTTTTCAGACAAATTCCGTTCGACAATTCTGCATAAGTAAGACCCTTTGCCTCACTACATGTAGAGTTTGCCTCCATCCATGCTCGAAACTTTGATTGTTGTGTTGGGGATCAAGCACGTGTACGCAGCGGGAAACAAAAAAATATATTTTATTTATACAAACTAGTTTATATAAATAAACACGTGCACATTAATTACAATTAATTGCTTACCTTTTCGCTTCCAACCACCGACAAACATGCTCGCATATATAATTATATAAATAACATAAATTAAATCATAATAGCATGCTCGCAAAATTAAAAGAAATAATAAACATGCTCAACGAACGATTCACATAAACACATAATCGAACGTAGAGATTCATGTGATTCAATAATCAATTAACATACATTTATCTCAATTAATATAAATTAATTAATATATATATTAATTAGGGAAAATGAGATTTTACCCTTGAAGCGTGAATCGGAGAAAGACTCGAGAAGATGGCTAGCTGCTCTTCCCACTCCTACTGATCCGACATGTTTTCTGATCTGAAATTACAGGTCTGCTCCGACTTCAATATCTCCATGGTTATTGACTGGATCAACAATTCCTTCAGAGGTACTATTGACCCATGAGGCTAAGATACGTGATAGGCTAAGTAAAACAAAGAAGAACGAGGGGAAAATAAAGTTGCCGATGCGGCGGCTGGTGGCTGAGGTGGGGTTTCGGCAGCAAGGTGGGCAGCTGATGGAAGGAGAGAGGCTAGGGTTTCATGCTTGTGTTTTGTCGTTTTTTTGTCTAATTTTCACAAGACATATAAATCCTATTTATATGCTCCTTGTGAAAACCCTAACAGGCTTAAGTTGGACTACGCCCAACAGGTTAAGCCCACTCTCTTTCTCGACTTGTTTCTAACAAACGAATGCTCGAATTTCCGTCGGATTCTTTTACTCTACGGATTTTCATCCGTAATTAACAATTATGAATGTTGGACTCAATCACATTGACTTCATATTAAACTAAGATTAATTAATTAATCTTAGGCGTTACATTTAAGGATCTCAAGTACACGAGCAGTGTGGTTTAAACTAGGTTGGTGATTCAAAGTCATCATTTAGGTTCGTGGCAGTGAAAAATAATGTTTTTCGAATGAGAAACGAAAAGTTCAAAAAATCTTATGTATTTTTAGTTAATGTAATTGGTGCTTACCAAGACTCATAAGTGTTTGAACCGTCTTTAGATATTTTTGATGCTTGCACGGTGTATTCTTTGCGATATTGTGCAAACACACGGAGGAGTGTAAACCTCATACACCAAACAATGCGAACACGAACCAATACTCCAAAATAGCAAATAGAGTCTCCAAGATTGCAAACGAATAACAAGCAAACACTTACCAGCAAACAACAAACGAAATTTAGGAGATTGTAAACGATCCGAAGGCCTTACTATGACATTCGCGGTACAATTTTTTGCTAGGGTTCTTTATTTCTGAAGTCTGTTTTGTGGATGGGTTGGGTTGCTTTTGATATCTGTGAATAACTGCTATTCTTTTGGGATTTTGGAGATTTGAATGAATGATTGATTACGGATCTTCTGGAGTATATAGAGTGGGATTTTAATTTCCATATAATGTTGGGGGCATTTTTGGCACAATAAAAATAATATATTTAATGAAAATAGGAAATCATTAGTTGGATTTTTAGACATAAACTCTACTATAGGAGGACCTATAGCAAACTGCCCCATTTTAAAATATATTCTGTTACTTCATTATTTTCCTTATTTGATAAGAAATGTTTACCGAATTTGCTTTAGTTGTCGGTTACTAATTACTTTCTTGTGTTATTAAATTTGCTAGGACAAATTGCAAAGATGGACATGACAAGGGAGTTAAATGCACATTGGTTCAGACAAAAAACAGACTTCCAAATAAACTCATCTCCACGTCTTTTGTCTAAAATACCCTCCGTAACATATTTTTTATCAGTTCTATCCATTATACTCTAACTTTCTCAATATTACACATTAACCTCGGATTTAAACAAATATATCAAATTAACCCCCATTTTCATAATTTAAAAAAAAAATTCAGAATTTTTTTTTCTGAATTTTTTTTCCGGCCAGATAACGGCGTTGACCTGGCAGTTCTCCGTCGTTGATTTTATTTTATTTTTTGAAAATTTGTTCCGGATGGTCAACCGCTGTTGACCGTAGGTCTCTGGCGTTGATTTTTTTTTAAAAAAAATTCTCTCTAAATTACCGTGTTAACAACAAAATTATTGTCTGAAATAGTAATATTGAATACCAAAACAATCATATTACTAATATTACTGTCCAAAACAGTAATATTACTAATGTTACTGCCCCAAACAGTAATATTATTAATATTACTCTCTTAAACAGTAATATTATTGCATGAGACAGTAATACTACGGTCGGAGACAACAAAATTGCAGCCCTAGACGATAAAATTAATTAATACAGTACTGTCTCACACAGTAATATTACTGTCTTAGACAGTTACATTACTGTCTCCGACAGTTAAATAACTGTTGGAGACAGTAATTTAGCAGCTAAGACAGTAATATTAATTAAAATAATTTTTTTAAGAAAGAAAAGTCAATTAACAGTTAAATTATTGTCTCCAACCGTTTAATTAGTGTTGGAGACAGTAATTTAGAAGCCAAGACAGTAATATTAGTTAAAATAATTTGTTTTTAAGAAAAAAAAAATTTTAAAAAAAAATTAACGCTAGAGACCGGCGGTTGACCTGCCTGAAAAAAAATTCAGGAAAAAAAAAAAAAGTCAACAGCGTCTGACCGGCGGTCTCCGGCGGTGGCGGGTCAAAATTGGTTAATTGGTGAAATTGGGCTAAATTGGGGTGTAAATCGTGAAATTGGAGTTAAATTGGGTTTCAAAGAATTTGGGGTAATTTTGGTATATATAAAAAGGTTTTCCTTATTTGCAAATATGTTTGAATGACTGGAATTATTTGAAAGACAAAAAACTTGGATATCCATTTTTTAATGAAGTGCCCTTGTCATTGACCTCTTTGCCATGAACCCTACAAATTATTATAGGTCGCGGCTATCGGCAATACTAGTTTCGTTAAGTGCAAGATTAAGAAAAAAAAAATTAATGTACAAATACTATAATATCACTATTTGTTAAAAAAATAGAAAACCAAATCGATGCAATACCATAAATTAAAAATTCACAAAACATTAATCACAAAACCACAAGACCAAATTTACATCTTCTCCATCTTCCAAAACTCATAAAAACCTTTCTCCTTCCTCTTCCATAAACCCACAAAACCTCAACATTCTAAACCCTCAAAACTCAACAAACCTTACAAGTATGCAGTCAAAAGACTTAAAAATGGAAGATTTCTATGGTGGAAGAACTCACGGAGACATGTATTTGTGTGTTTTATTAGCTAGGTTATCGTTTTTGAAAAAAAAAAAATTCGCGCAGTCGCGATTCGACATTTACATGTCGAATTTTGTCCCCAAAAACTCGACATTAAGATGTCGAATTTTTCCCCCAAAATGCGACGCAAGATGTCGAAATAAGCCTGTTTCCGCAAACTCGGCATTAAGATGTCGAATTTTGCCCCCAAAATTCGACGCTTAGATGTCGAAATAAGCCTGTTTCCAAAACTCGACATCTAAGATGTCGAGTTTTGGGGACAAAATTTGACATGTAAATGTCGAATCGTGGCTGCGTAATTTTTTTTTCAAAAACGATAACCTAGCTAATAAAACAAATAAATGCATATACCTCCGCGGGTTCTACCACTGTAAAATCTTACATTTTGATGTCTTTTGACTCCATACTTGCCCTCTTTCTAAGATTTGTTGAGTTTTGTTGGGTTTTGAATGTTGAGATTCTGTGGATTTATAGAAGATGAAGGAGAAAGGTTTTTGTGGGTTTTGCAAGATGGAGAAAATAAAAATTTAGTCTCGTGGTTTTTTTGGTTTTTGGTATTATTTTTTAACAAGAGTATTATAGTATATGTACATTGAAAATTTTAACATGATCTTGCACTTAATAAAATTAGTATTGCAAATAACCGCGACCATTATTATATGTTTCACCAACTTAATACAATTTTTCTACTCCCCTTAAATCTTTGTTCTTTATTAACTATCAAAAAGATGTGAACAAAATTTCTATCGAATGATATATTTTACTACTTTGTTCAACAACGGAAATACATGTGATTTGAATCCCCTACTCCAATAAAAGGATATGTGGGTAATTTATATCATATTTCAAGATTTCTAGATATTTTGAAATCTAAGGGTAGCAAAAGATTAATAATAGGGACTTTACAAATAAGTCTATCAATGGGTATTTTTTTATAAAGGAATCGAGATAAAAAAATTCTTTTACAAAAAAATCCACACATGGTCCAGAGGTTTGTAAAAGACTAAAATCGCCCCTCACATTTTAATATGCTCTAAGTTAATCCTTTAATTTAATATAACCTCAATTTGACCTCAAATTTCACAAATTATTCAATTTTGACCCAAAACACAATTTTATGGACAATTTCGTCCGTCGCCGCCGTTGACCGCCGGTCTCCGGCGTTGATTTTCTTTTTCTCCCTGATTTTTCCGCCGCCAGTTATCGGTGTTGACTTTTTCAATTTTTTTTTCTAACATCTTTTCGCGCCCACCCCCCCCCCCCCCAACCCGAAACACAGTAATATTGCTATTTTAATCACTAACATAACAAAAGTCATTATTATTTTGTATTAGAATAATTTTAATATGTTGACCGTTCAACAAAACATAATAAAAAGCCAAAAGAATTAATATTACTGTGGTTGACATAAATATTATTGTAACAACAGTAATATTATTGTGTTTTCAGTAATATTACAATAGTAGAAAGTAATATTATTACGTTACTTCGTCAACAACTCAAACAAAACAAAAAACCTTAGAAAATAATAATATTAATGTGGTTGACAGTAATATTATTGTGTTTACAGTTATTTTACTGTCAACGACAGTAATATAATTATGTTGACATGGCAACAGATCAAACAAAATTAAAAAAAAAAAAAAAAACCAAAAAAATAATAATATTGTCGTTGAATCTAATTGTATTGTCAACGACAGTACAATTACATAAATGTATTGTCAACGACAGTACAATTATGTTAATGTACTGCAACAACAGTATAATTACGTTAATAAACTGTCAGTGACAATATAATTACTGTGAATGACAATACAATTACGTCAACTTTTAGCGGTGGGCGTAAAAACTTTATGAGAACAAAAAAAAATCACTAGAAAAAGTCAACGGCGGAGACCGGCGGTCAACGCCGGAAACCGGCAACGGAAAAAACAGACCAGAGAAAAAGAAAGAAAAAAAAACCGAAAAGTCAAACCAACGGCAAAAAAATAATTTAAAATAAAAAAACTTAAAAAAAATAAGTCAAAATTGGATTTTTGTGGTCAAATTGATTAAATTAGGGTTAGAATTAAAAATTGGATGTAAAAAATTGGGGGTAATTTTGTCATATACATTAATTTTTTATTTATTTATAATAGCGATTAAAGGCATGGACTTATTGGCGAAAGAGATATAGCCCTTAAACATAGAATAATAAAGATGGTTAGTCAGAAACTTATGCTAAAAAAAACCCCATAAAATACTATTGGACGAAATACAATGAGGAGTTGACCTTCATATTACGTTAAAAGTTTCGAGCCATTTTGTTGCTTCATTGAAGCTTTAACACACACACTGACACACACACACACATAATAATAATAATAATAATAATAATAATAATAATAATAATAATAATAATAATAATAATAATAATAATAATAATAATAATAATAATAATAATAATAATAATAATAATAATAATAATAATAATAATAATAATAATAATAATAATAATAATAATAATAAATTAAATTAAAAAAATTGGCATCTTCCAGAGCAAGGGCCTTCTCAATGATGTAAGCGTTGCTGTCATAGTTAGTTAAAAATATTTGTAAATATTTAGAGATGAAAGTTGACAGCTAATTAGAGAATTGATGGAAACAAAAAAGATAAGATGGTTGACAATCTTGCAGGATGTGAGGGGTTATCCTATAATTAAAATTATGCAAGTTGTTGTTTACTCAAATTGTCGCGTAATTAGTTTGACATTTTCCTAATCGCGACTGCTTCAACAATCACATCATGTTATTCTTACAAACTCCTTCAACAGTCATATTTTGTTTATTTGCTATGTTTCGTGCATCAAACCAAGAGATGTGCACAAACTCTATCAAATGTAAATGATATTAGCTAACTCAAAATCATCTCCAACAATGTTATCAAACATTATTTTTTATTATCTTTTCTTCCATTTCGTATCGGTGGAATGTGCATTGGCAGTTTCCAATCAAACCAGCACAAAGAGACCTCCGACAACTTTCACAAAAGGCCCCAATATAGCCAAGCCTGGCTGCCAAAGTAAATGTGGGAACTTAACTTTTCCTTATCCATTTGGCATTGGCCTAGGTTCAGGGTGTTCTTTACACCCTACATTCGATATCAGATGTGATAATTCTTTCAACCCTCCAAAGTCCTTTCTTGAAAATATTAATTTTGAAGTTATTGATGTAACAGATTCACAAATGAGGATCAAGAATTTTATGATTTCCAACTGTTACAACCAACGAGGCAACTTGACCAGCCAAAACACCTTTAGGATCGGCCCGTTACCTCTACCTTTTAGCTTATCTGATGGAAATAAGTTCACAATTGTCGGATGTGATGATATTTCCCTACAATTTGGAAATGAGAAAGGTAATTCGACCAATGGGTGCATTTCTGTTTGTTCTTCAAGAGAGCAAATTCTTGATGGTTATTGTAGTGGCATTGGTTGTTGCCAGTCTTCAATACCCAAAGGCCTAACAAGTTTTTCTACTTCTCTCGGCAGCATTAATAATCACATTAATGTGTGGTCCTTCAATCCTTGTGCTTTTGCCTTTCTTGCTGAGCAGGATACCTTCACATTTCATTCTTCTTACCTCAGCGACGTCACTTTTAAAAATAAAACCATCGAGAATGTTCCCATACTCCTAAATTGGGTGATTCGAAATGAAACTTGCGATGAAGCTCGTAAATTCGATGATTTTGCATGTCACAAGAATAGCAATTGCATGAACTCTGACACTGGCGTAAATGGATATAATTGCAGATGCTTTGACGGATATGAGGGCAATCCCTATCTCAACCCAGGCTGCACAGGTTACTTTTTTTTTTGCTTTTACACCACACTTACAATATTATTCCATTTATCTGTTTTGATGTTTCGATAAGCGGATTATTATGATGTTCGTTTATGAGTTTCAGATACAAACGAATGTGAGAATGGACCATGTGACCCAAAAGGCATATGCACTAATTCTCCTGGTAGCTATAATTGTTCGTGTCCTCATGGCCTGACGGGTGATGGCACAAAAGATGGCACTGGATGCTTTAAACAAAAAAAAAACCATTTCAGCTCTCAAGTTGTCATCAGGTACCCGTGAATGTTAAACTTCAAATCAATGTCTTTTATTCTTTAGTCTTTCTCTTCAATTACGTTGGATGAGGATAAAGAGCAAATATAAGGTTTCCAAAATGTGAATTTTCAGGTGTCGGTTTAGCCTTTGTTTCTGTGATAATTGGCATTACTTGGATATACTTTACCATCAAGAAGAGGAAACACATGAAACTACGAGAGAAGTTTTTCCACCAAAATGGAGGTTTGTTATTGAAGCAGCAACTCTCTTCGAACGAGGGTAGTATGCAATCACCTAAAGTATTTTCTGCTCATGAACTTGAGAAGGCCACCAACAATTATTCAGAAGACCACATTCTCGGCAAAGGAGGTTACGGAATAGTTTACAAAGGAATTCTGAGCGATGAACGTGTTGTTGCAATAAAGAAATCCATAAAACTGGATGACAGCCAAATAGAGATATTCATAAATGAGATGGTTATTCTGACTCAGGTTAACCACAAGAATGTGGTGAAACTAATTGGATGTTGTTTGGAGACTGAGGTGCCTTTATTAGTATATGAATTTATCTCAAATGGAACCCTATTTCACTATATCCATAATAGTGAGGAAATGCCATGGTTTTCTTGGGAAAATCGGTTGAGGATTGCCACAGAGACTGCTAGTGCACTTGCCTATCTACATTCTTCGACAACAAAGCCAATAATCCATAGAGATGTTAAGTCACCCAATATATTATTGGATGAGTGTTACACTGCAAAAATAGCAGATTTTGGAGCTTCAAGACTGATTCCTATTGATCGAACACGAGTGACGACTCTTGTACAGGGAACTTTTGGTTATCTTGATCCTGAGTATTTTCGTACAAGCCAACTGACAGAGAAAAGTGATGTGTATAGCTTTGGGGTGGTGTTGGCTGAGCTCCTGACAGGTAGAAAACCTGTGTCTACTGAAAAGAGTGAAGAAGAGATTAACCTAGCTACTTACTTTGTAGCGTGTGTGACGGAAAATCGATTGTTTCAAATTATTGATCCAAGAATTATGAGGGAAGGGAGTTTGGAGCAAATCAGTGCACTGAGTGAGGTTGTTAAGAGATGTCTCGAGTTGAAAGGTGAAGAAAGACCGACTATGAAAGAAATGACTATGGAATTGGAGAGGTTGAGAAATTTTAATAAAATTGCAAACTCATACAAGCAAGACGAAAAAAGCCCCGAGGGAAACATGGGAGTAACAGGTGAGCAACAACTTGATCTATATCCAGTTCCAATAAATCCTAATTTCAGCTCTGGACAGTAAAATATGGAAAGTGAGTTATTCCATGCAATCAATACCCCTCGTTAATCAGGCAGAACATAGAGGTTATTCAAACACTATAGTTTTTCCTGTGAGGCTCTTTCTTAATTCATGTTTTTTCTATATTATTCTTCTAGTATATATAATTTGCATGTTACAAGAGTTACAATAACTCCTTGTTAAGCAATTTGCATACCCAAAGAGTCAGGAAACAATCAGTTTTCTTTTGTAAAAGAAGAAAAAATAATTTTGTTTCTTCTGTAAAAGAAGAAAAAATAATTTTGTATATGTCACAATATCTTGATGTATTGAGCATTTTAAGTTGTTGATTGTATCAACTTTGATGATTATTTTTAGTTTCTTGCTATTTTATCTTAAGCATCAACCATGGATAGACTATTCTTTGTGTGTGTTTACCATCCCCAAATTTCCTGAAATCCCTTAAACTTCATTTTGTTAGTTTGAAGGGTCAATTGAAGTAGCAATGAATTTATAAAATAATGAAAGCATGTTATTCAACACATATTGAGGCACTTTGATATTGATGACCCATTTGACAGCAGGGAAGAAAAACCACCCATTCATACCATACTTTCATAGAACAACAATGCTCATAATGTTGAATCACATATTGATTGAACAAATAATTATTTATAAGTCACCTAAAATTACTGGAAGAAATTACTCTCTCTCCAAAATTAAGGTACTCAAAAGAGGAGCAACAAAGAGCAGAAACTCCCAAGTTAATTTGTTTCATATAATCAACTATCGAACAAATTCGATACATCTAAGTTATAACTGTTTGACTTAAAACTTACAGGATGATGTGAATGACTTTAAAGGTGAAGTCAGTTAGACAAGATCCAGAGCCAATCACACATGCAACTGATTTAACCACAACTTCCAAGGTCCAGAAGCAGTGGCAATTGACAAGTATAAGAAATGTAACAATAACAATATAGAATGCATAAATGATAACATACTTAACTAAGATGAATTATATTCTTCTAAAAGACACCAGATTTTCTAGAATTGACAACTCATACCCCTAGTATTTATTTTTACCACGGTTACATGCGGATTTATTAAATTAGAATTTAGTATAATTTTACACGACTACTTGATTATGTGATTATGTGAATTATGTGCTTAGAAAATATTTTATAAATTTTTCGTTGAAATAAATATTGTTTGAAATTAGAATTTCCATTCACACGAAAAATAAATTGTTCTCATGAACTAAAAATCGATTCTTGCATATTGAAATTAAGAGAGCATTTTTAATCACATTTGTGCATACACTAAAATTACGAAATAAAATTTATTCATGTATTTTATATAACAAATTGAATGAATAAATTCGAAATAATATTTTCCCACTCTTCTTGTAATTTTGTCCATGTGTAGACACATATGTATTGATTTTCCATGTGTATAAATATTTAAATAGAAGACCATCTAATGGTGGAAATTAGAGCTCGAAGAACTAGTACATTGCCCATTAATAAGTATAACTTACTTTACCTTTCAAAGGTCTCACTTGCACACTTTCTATTTCCACCTAGTCATTTGAAAACACACTCTCTCTCTCCTTCATTCTCAAAATTCGGCCACCACCATCACCACCGCACCAATACTCCATTTTTATCTCAAGCTAGCTCAAGCAATTGAACCATCTCCAACCCATCTAAAGATGAAATTGCCAAGAAGTCCCTCTAGATACTTCCAAGTGTCTCAAAATTGCAAAAAAGGCCCTTCTTCAATACTTACTCGTTAAGCTTGCAAGTCTCCTCAATTCTATAAGTAGAACCCAAGCCTTCATTTTTTTTCTCACCTTCTTTCTCTCTTACTTCTTCCATTTTCGAAATTAATAGTATAGGAAGCCCAAAGCCACTTTTCCAAGAGATTCTTCAATTAGATTGTAAGAACGTCTTCTTCTCTCTTATTCAACAATCTCCCCTCTTTCTTCTTTATATTGTTTCATGATCTTATTCCTCTATTTTTCCTTGAATGAATTATAGATAAAGAGCTAATAAATCATTCTCCTCACATTTTTCCAAAGGCTTGAGTGATAATTCCTGAATTCTTGCTCAAATATGCAACACCAATAGTATTTTTTTTATTATCTTGACTTCTAATTATGTATTATGTGGTTATATGACTTGGATGATAATTGCTTACTGAAGTTCTATGTTTTTCGAAAATTTCGGAAACATAGCATAGATGGTGAATTTGGTTTATTTAGTATCTTGCATGTGATTATCTAGTAGTTTATTGTTGTTAGGTAAAAATAATTCGAATTTTTTATTTAACTTGTGAAATCTTTGAATTTGATTCTTGAACTAATGGGAATGAAAATTTAATGAAGTAGTAGTAGTGTAGTAAATGAATATCTTGATGCATGTGGAATTTGTGAAGGAAATAATTTATTGTCAGTATATTATGTTCGGACTTTTGGGAAAAATAATTAGACGATGAAATAATTTGATTAAGTGTCTTGCATGTTAGGATATATCATTTCTATGATGATTTGTGAATGATTTAAAAATAAAATCTTGAACTTTATTCTTATAAAACTATTAAAATTAATGGATCTTTGATTTGGTATAAATTACTCTTGCATGTGTAAGATCTCTATTTGTTGGTGCAAACATGGTTATTAAGTTTATTATGTCTACATGAGTATGTGTTAAATAATAATTCGAAAATCTAACTTGAATATTGTTATGTGATCTTGTCTTACTTATGTGTATTGCTCATTGGCTGTGAGAATGAGAAAAGGGTAAGTAGAAGGGTGCATGTGTTGGGTGCATAAGTGTCACAATTTTAAAAAGACAAAAATATTTGGAAAGTCTTTCAATGTGTAGATTAAATAACCAAGTGCATGATGAGTCGGTACTCGTAGGGCCTAAGGGTGGTTTGATTTCACGTCGATAAATTCCGACTCGTTAAAACATGGGTTATTTGTCGAAACTTAAATCGATTTTTCTAAAGGGATTCCCGATGATTTTTCATTGCATGCATGTCTCATGAAGGTGTTGAAGCTATAGGGTTATAAAAGTAAGAAAATCTCACTCTATGGTCTTCGGTAAGAAGGGATCATAGGGTTATAAAGGTGAGAACCTCCCCTCTATAGTCTTCAATACAAATATCAAGACATAGAATTATAAATGTGAGAAGTGATCTCACTTTATTGGCTTGAAAAAGAAACAAATAAGAAGAATTTCGATACAAAAGGGAAGTATATGATTTATTTGAATATGATGCATGTATTGTTAGGATAGTAGACTTAAGTCTCGCTTTAGCTACATAGTTTTATTATTGAATATAATAAAATAATATATTATCATTTTATGAGAATCTGTACTAGGGCATTCACCGCATTTGATTGATGGTGTGCTACGACGCACAGAAAGATCATTTTGAAAGTTCGTTAAGAATGTAAAGATAAACGTTCACAATCTAGATGGAAATGAACTATTCATTGGTAAAAGATTGTAGCACAATATTTAAGTGATTGGTCTTGATCACAGTAAACAGAGAATAACTTTTGTAGTTATTGTTTTGACTTATGGTGCTAGCACACGCCCGACATGTGTTGAACCGGACAAAGTGAAATAATGTTTCATCACTGTTCAAAATGACACTGTAGATAATTAATGTTCACATTTAATTTATGATCTCTACTTTGATATTACAATGGATGAGATTCCTATATTGAGTCAAATAACTTCCGGTGCGTTGTGTAGAGACCTTAAGAATTAATATGTGGAAATTAATAACCCTTCAATAGCTTATAAGATTTGTTTAGCCAAGTCCTGTCCAGGTGTATTTTCACTACAAGAAAAGTAATTTTAAGTAACAAAACTATAGTAACAAACGGATTATTTGTCACAAAAACTAGTTTATTGTAACAAAATGTAAACATTGTTACTAAATGATCATGTTTTGGTAACGATTAGAAAACATTGTTACCAAAACAACTAATTTGTCACCCAAAAGTCACTTTTTCGTAACAAACGGAAACCTTAGTTACAAAAAATGAATAATTGTCACGAAAATATATTTTGTCTAGTAACAAACTGTTAATTCGTTACAATAGCATAAAATTGTCACGAGAAGTATTATTCTTTTGTAACAAATTTTATATGTGTTACAAAAAGTTATAAAATATTATTTACCTTCCATTTCTATTGTATATCTAGTGATAATATTACTCCAGCGGGTGTGGAGAAAACAAAGGGGATAAATAAAAGAACATAGTGGCTCTAGGGTTCTAATTTTTCACCGCCGACACACACCTTTATCCTCTTCAATTTCCACCACCGCATACTTTCAAAATTCGTAACATCATCATCTCCGGCATCGGCTCCAGCAGAAACACATTTGGCGAAATAGCAGCGGCAACAAGGATTGAGGCAAAGTCGCAGCGGCAACAGGGATTGGGCAAAGTCGCCATGACGATTGGGGGAAGCAGCACCAACGATTGGGGGAAGCAACACCAATGATTGGGCAAAGCCAAAACGGCGATTGGAAGCGGCACCAACGACTAGGCAAAGTGAAAATTTAAGGTATAGCTATTAGGTTTTTTCTCTCACCCTCCTCAGTGATGTATGAAGAAGCTCTAAATTAAATGTCCAATTTTGTTTTTTAATTTGATTGTCTGAATTAGTTTTTCTCTAGCATTTAATATATTTAGATGGTTAATTGGTATAAAGATTAATTGTGGTGGTTATTTGTTGAATATGCTTCATTGATCACTTCTTATCATATTCACTTGCTAAAGAACTTATTAAATGTGGTGATTATTTTTCTAATTTTGAAGCTTTTAGAATAAGTCTTTTTATTTCAATTAACTTTTACTCTTGCTTGTTGTTGTGCAACAATTTTGGCCTATGAATATGCTTTACATGTTATTTTTTTCTCTTTTAATGTTTTCAACTAATAATAATCTTAAGATTTCACCTTATTTAATCTATTTCTAATTGAATGCAAATTATGTACAAAGACCTAATGTTTAATATGCTCTAAAACTATGTTTCATATTTTGTGTTGGGGTGAGGAGAAAAATTGTTTCTATGGTGAAACATTTCTATAATTGTTTAGATTGTCATCATATTTGCACACTGTATGTTTGGTTGCAATGTTTGACAAACCTATAGCACTAGTTTAAGAATTTCTTAGTACTACACATATTAAGTTCAATTGTGCATTGTATACAAAATCTTGTAACTAGTATATAATGTTCAAGTGCTGACTATACTATACTGGTAACAAAAATTCGCACTCATATATTAGCACGACATTACACATGATATGCCGATGCATATTAGAATTCTTAAATCATCTCGCATATCCACTATAAAAGATTGACACACATAGTTAATTGCCTATTTTGGTTATTGGAGTATGGCTAATGAGACTTGCTCTCACTTTGTTACTTCAAGTTCTCTTAGGCTCAGAAATG